TATTTCTTGATTGAAGAGCATGAAATCCCATTACCTATTTATTATGTAGCTGCCTAATTAATCCCATATCAACAAGACCTGTCCAATTAAGAAAACAATTGGACAGTTACCTATAGGGGATTAATGAGAAGCTGTATAATTAGACTAGTAATAATTTACCAGGTCAATTAAGTAAAACCACTCTGTACATAATAGCTATTGATATCCATTAGGCTATAACTATTGCTCTTTTTTCAAGCTGCTAATCACTTTTTCTTGTTGACAGCTTATTGGGATGCGAGGCCCATAGCAAGGCCAAAACTTTAAGGAAGGGAGGGGTAGGGGGGGGGGGGACTAAGTTTAAAGATCCCTAAATCCCTAAGTATTAATAACAGTTCTAAAAATATTATTAAAAATAAAATATCTTAAAATAATTTAACATCTAAGTATTTACTTTAAGTATTATCGGTAGTGAAAGTATTGTCAATGGTTCATGTGCACTTTAACCAGATAATTTCTCACAGCTTCTCGATATTTTGGCATCAGTTAACTAGGGAAAGCACACTAAAAAGGCAGACTATCCTAATATATTCCAAGCTAGCGTCTTCTTTTTTTTACCAAGCCACAAAAATTATCTTCAAAACACATTAGAGTGCAAGCACTAGTCTAAACCCGTGCACAATAATTAGCTCTAATTAGTACTATTTTATACAGAATCCTTTGTTTTATATTGTTTTGTTATCACTATTTAGTGCTAAAAATTAGTATTAGCTTCACGGGTTTAGTGCGTGCACTCTAAAAAGGTTCGAAAGTAGTTTTTATGGATYAAAGTGGTCGAACAATGAGACTGGCAAAGCAGTACCAAAGGAAGGTATTTTTTCAAGTGCTGTTGGCTTTTCTTTTGTTCAGCTTTGTCAAGTTATTCTTTGCCCTTTTTTTCTTGAGTTCTTGTTCCAGCTTTTGCAGAAGATTGCGCAAAGGGGCTCGGAGGGTTTTCTGGAAAAAAAGTGATACGATGACTTGACAAGATGTGGGTTTTTTTACAATAACTTACAAATTTCTCGCGGGCTGATTGGTTATTTACGAGCGCGCGCTCTTTCCGTTAGTCCTTTTGATCGCTAAAAATGAGACGTTTTTATCGTTTTTGTTATTGTTAAATTAACAAATAGACATCAGTTTTTTATGTGTCTGCCCTCTTATTGACGATAAATTGCGTCGTCACATTGTCAAAGTAGTATGTGGATTCACGCTACTTTGACAATGTGATGGCGCAATTTATCGTCAATAAGAGGGCAGACACATAAAAAACTGATGTCTATATGTTAAGTAATGGGAAATGCGGTTTGCAGCTTACGCGCGCGAGTATGAAGTAGTACGACTTTAATGTTATTCCGTTTTTGTTTTCTATTTCTTCTTCTCACAGGGAAAGAAAATAATTCCTATTATTGAAATTCATTTAAAAAGTAACCATTGCGCAAGACAAGTTACAACGAATGCAGCATAGTCTCGTACATCGTATRCCCAACGATTTTTTTGGCAGGGAGGAGAGGGTGGAGTTGCACGAGAAATTGACGCTGCTCAGTCGTTAGCAAAAAGAATCTTCTCTCAAGAGAATGACACGTAGTCTGAAATAGGAAAACATTACGCCCAAGGTAAAGAGGTCTATTACTCTGTCTTCTGATTTGCAACTGTTAAACAAAGAAATGATACTCTAGGGAATGACATGTGGTCTGAAATAGGAAAACATTACGCCCAAGGTAAAGAGGTATATTTCTCCCTGCTCTGCCAAAATTATTAGGGGGAGGGGGGAGGGTGTGGCAGTTTATATTTACAGAGGAGAATYTTACCTTTATCTGTCTATATTTCCTTTCTTTTTTCCCGTTTGTAGGCCATGGATAAACAAAGCTCTCTGGCCCCAGTATCAGTTTCCCATTCGTCGTGTCTTCATGTCCCATCAGCAGGTATGTTTGATTGGTCTGTAGTACAGGACACGGACACGACGAGTTAGTATACATCGTTAGTTTTCGTTTGCCAAGCTTTACCAGACTCTTATGAATTGTTTTCTTGTGCGCGAAGAGGATCTTTCTTTCGCTGGGTGTCTCGGTGATGCTATTGACTTCTGCGATTACCACTAATAGCATTGGACACAAAAATCTCTGTTAGGCTGCAATAATTATCATTTATGCCAGAGCGTCTCAATACTATATAAAATTATAGGTGCCCCCCCTCCCCCCCAAGGCTCATTCAATGAAAAAAAATAGAGGTGCACCCATTAGACGCAAATAATCGTTTTCGACCAGATCCCCCCTAAATTTCGACTCCCACATGCATCCCCTCATTTCATACACTAGCACTAGTATTGACTGGCAGCAGCAGCAGCTACAGCAGCAGCAGCTACAGCAGCAGCAGCAACAGCAGCAGTAAGAGCAGCAGCAGTAGCAGTATATTTTTCCCGGGGATGGGGGGATTTACTCTTGCCCGTTTAGGGTAGGGATGTGCCGCTGAGCCTGTTCCAGAGTAAAAATCGCTGGACCCTGTTCCAGAGCAAGATTGCTGAAAACCCTGTTCCAGAGAGGAGAGAGCGTGATTTCATATATCCTGTTCCAGAGCRAGCGCGATTTTATATACACTGTTCCAGAGTAGAATCGCTGAAAACCATATACCCTGTTTGGCGGCACGTACCCCGTATAGCGAATATAGGGGAGTACCCCCCCCCC